AGAGTTTGTGTGTGCTCTTATCCATTGGTAAATACGAAATATCTCCCTCTTAGTCATGAACAAGTATTGAGGAAGGATTGTGTATGGAGAAGTGATCAGTGTGGAAGAAAAATTCTACATGAGGTTTTGACATGAACCAGTGGTAGAAATGCCTAAAAACTGGATTAAAGCTTCACTAGCTTGCTAACATTGAGAAGTATTAAGAAAGAGAAGATGCTTTCAATATAGGACATGGTGTGGTAATAATGCTATGGAGCAAATTCTATGTGCTATGGTGAAATAAAAGTCAGGAAGAAAGTTAGGAAAGGGCAGTGGAGAGATTCCAGCTGTCTGGCTGTTTTATGGACTGAACAAGGCAATAGAATTTGTTGAAACACAGGGAGTGATTTGGGCAGCCCACATATTCATGTCTGGGACTGAAAGACAAAGGACAAGGCTTGTAGTATCAATGAAGATGGCAAATGGTAAAGTGAAGCTTTATAAGGCATCAAGAATACTTTCAATCCTTGCCTAGTGCTCAATGGATGTCTGGGGAGGACTACTCAGAAAGAGGAACACATGGACCCCCCTATGTGTTCTGAGGTGAGGGAAATAGCATTTTCCTTTGGGAAGGCTGCTTTGTGAGGTCAACAGTGAGTGAATGGTAAGCTCAGAAATGCCTCAGAAATGCCAGGTCTCCAAAAGAAAGGCTTACTCCAGTGCCAGTCAGAAGAGGACAGTGTTTCTCATCTGTTCCTCGGAAAGGAGGGGAACACAGCTGTCTGCCCTGCTCTGTCTAGAGACACAGACCTTCTCAGAAAAGGAGGAAAAATGTTTTCTGCTGAGATACTTAATGCTTAACAGCATGGCATAAATTCATCTCTCTCTCACAATTTAAATTCAGCAGGCAAAGACAACAGGGCCCAAGTGGGCAAGTGTCAGGTGTAGGAAAGATTTATGAAATTCTTTTGCTTTGGCGAGAATTGATGGGTGAAACTTGGTTGTTTTTTCTTTTGTGTTTGTCTTTTTGTCATTTGTTTTGTCTTTGTTAAATAGAATCACAGACTTATAGCTATGTTTGTGTTGGAAGGGACTTTAAAGATCATCTAGTTCATCTTGTCAGGGACAACTTCCACTAGATCAGGTTCCTTAAAGCTGCATCCAGCCTGGCCTTGAACACTTCCAGGGATGGGGCAGCCACCCTTCTTCTGGAGTGGGCAACCTGCTCAATTGTTTTACTGTCCTCATAGTGAAGAAATAGTTTTTGTCAAATTTATTGGTCTTTTACAAAATACACAAGACAGTACTAAACTGGTAAATTTATTTTAAAATTGCTTATAAACAGCTCAGATTAATATATCTATAAATTTTACCTCCATATAAATAGGCACATCATATTTATATTTTGTAAATCTCATTCATCTAAGTATAACATGAAATTATTGAGCTACAGGAAATTCTCTGAGACTGGGTTTGAGTACTATTAAAAAAACTGTAGAATACTCTTCTTCAACTATGCTTCTACCAGAAGTGTCAGGTAGAATGTGACTGCAACAATTTTACTTTGAAATCTTCTAAATGCATATGAAAATCCAGACAATAACCTCCACAATAAATTCCATCTTGCACAGGAACAAACACCAACATCCACTAAAATTACAGAAAAGAGCATGACTTTAATATTAGATTCCTGTAATTGCAATTGTAAGAACCCTTTTGTACATCAACATAATAATAATGTCTGAGATTCCTACTCAGAAAGCACAGTTGCTCTCAAATCTTCTGTTCATTCCTTTAAAAGCAACGTCAACATGTAACAGCCGTCACTACTGTATATGCATCTCTCATCTTAAATTAGCACTTTGTATTATTGCATTTCATTTTAAAAAGGCTTTCCAACAACCTATCAGGTATTTAAAGAACGTACAGTATAGTTGTAATGACACAGGTTGCTTATTTATTTAACTGTTGAAAGCTTGAAAGCCTCTTTCAGCTCCCTGTATCTATTTCTATATGTACAAATTATGAGACCTTGAATAATGAACGTGTTATTTAAATCGTGCTCTGACACTACATAATGCTGAGAAGTCATTTTATACAGTTCACTATTCTCATAGTCAATGGTGCTTGACTTGATTACCAGTGCCTCATAGCTAGAGTAGATGTGGGCAATGTTTTAAATTTGTTAAAAATCGGTTAGATAAAATTGTCTTGAATGAAATAGAGTAGGTTGGAGAGCTTATTCCTTCCGATATTTTCCTAGATGAGTCTTAATTGTCACGCATAAAATATCCACGATAAAGTAAATTTTTGTATATTAAAAAAAAGGAAGAAAATTAAAAAGTAAAGAAACAGCTGAATGTTCTACCCGGCCTCTGCAAAATTATAGTGGAGGAGGCAAACCCAGCCCAGCATCCTGCCTTACATTCCTAAAAGCCAATTCACGACAACCATGGCTAAGGAAATGTTTTTACCCTTCATGAATAAGGAAAAGGTGAGCAGAGATAAGTTCTTAGCAACCACTAGCCCCTCATGGGTCAGCATACAAGGTCTATGCAATGATTAGTGTCATTACTGTAAACTTCTGCTTTCTACCAGGGAAAAGGAGATCATTGTGCCCAGTACTGGCCTGTACTACAGTACAGGCTGCTCTGCCTGTGCATCTTCACTGCACTGGGGTCTAGAAGGCGCCCTGGTACAGCTGCAATTTACCTAGCAAGGCTGGTTTTCCCCTCCAATATTGATTTGTTCAGTGACGCTAGTTTGACCCGCTCAGCAAAGCCACCGTGCGCATTATCATGATGCATCCATGTAAGAAGCGTTTTGCACGTGTATTCCTGTGTGACAAAGCACTAAGAGGTTAACTCACAACTTCTGGGAGCCTGGAAAAAGGCAGATTTTTACAGATGGGGGTGGGGGGGAAAGGCTTTCTGTGAGCAGCAGAACTATGAAGCCTGGTTTGCCAGAGGTTGTGTGTTCCTTGTCACCTGTGAGTAGGTATGGCCGCTGGGCACAGCATATGCTCCTAGCTAGCACACCGCTCCCAAACAGCACGTGTGCTGCAACATCTGAGTCGTCTGCTTCTCCCCAGTGGAGGTCACTAAATTGGGTTATTCTCCTCCACTAAAACCTGTAGGAATTTCATAGTTTGGAAGCTCCTACCTTTAGACTGTAAGACACACTTGAAAGGCAGTTCTGAAACACAACCATGTTTCAGGTCAAGACAAGATCGAGCTGAAGTGTCACCGGAATTGGTTCATCTTCGGAGTGTGCCTCAGTTTCAGTGAATTTGATGAGATGCAATAAAAATTTCTGTTGGAAACCTTTTGACCCACTGTCCATGTAGGTTACCAGTCTTCAGGTTTCACATCTATTTCTCAGGGCTGAATAATATGCTACCAGTCAGGGCTGGCTTGTATCCATGTCACAACTCTTGCTTGCACTTACATGTCTCTTTCTTCCTTTTCAGGCACATGGAAGAGACGTTGCTTGTGGTGCAACTGGTTTTGATACCCTCCCCCTTACCACACTTACACACACACTGAGGGTTTATCCATTCTCTTCGTTACATGAACCATGGATAATCCATGTGTTCTTGTCCCCACACCTTTTTGATCAGTTTAATATCTAATGAGATCTTAACCAAATGAAAAAAAAAAGAAATCTTTATTTCAAGATACTAGAATTCTTGTGACATGGATTTGAAGCAGTCTATGATCAAACAGTATTTTTTAATTTGTCTTGATTCATGTGAAAGTAATTTGAATCCACATTAGTATTCTATGAACTGATCATTAACATTTTTCAACTGATTTAGTAAACATATATTGCTTCCAAAATAAATAGAAACAGGAAAGGAGTATAGTTAGTGTAGCTGAGGCATGAAAATATACACATTAAAATGCAAGGCAAAACTCCAGTGTTGAAATGGGGCAGCTCATCGAAGTTATTTTTCTAGCCATGTTTTCACATCTCCAGAGGATGCTTAAAAACAATAGAATAAACATCCTAAAATATATCTTTTAATAATGCTGCTTTATACTTCTGATTGTAACAAATGAATTGGCACAGCTCCCCTGAATATATCGGGTAGTCAGGAAAGACAACATGCTGAAAATAAAGAGCGCATCCTCCAAGGAGGTTGGCTCTGTGGTGATTTGTGAGATATTCACACAGCCCTTTTGGCATATGAGGCTTCTCTAGGGGCAGAGTCTGTGTCCCAGATGAAACCCAGGCTGGCTGTGGTCCAGGAGCCACGAAGCCACAGTAACACATTGCTATGTCCAACCCCATAGGCCTTCCTCAAAGCTGTCATTTATTCCTGTTCTGTCACCTGTTGCTGTGTTTCACTTTAAATAGAAGTAAGGACCCCTGAAAATGGTCTTTTCCCTCAGAAGCTGATGTGCTTCTATTAGCTACTGGGTATAAGGATGAGGGAACCCTCCATCTCTTCCTCAAAAGGAAGGTAAGGGCCCATTTTGAGGGATTTGCCCAGTTAGCTCACCTAACACATTCTGCTGCACCTATGAACTACTTAGAAGACTATCAAACTTTATGATCCTCCCAGGGCTGAGGCACGAAAAAAATGCTGAGTTGTTCAGCCTTGTTAACAGCAGGAGGCTTCTGAGTGTTTCCAAAATCACAGACACACAAAAAATTAACAGACTATAAGTACCTCTAGCTTTGCTGGCTTGAAGCTCAGAGGCTCTATTTCTTGCAAGCTCAGTCTGGGTTCTCTTTGTAGACTTCAGTGTGATTTGCTGAATGCTATCTAACTAATACTTTGGATAAAGATGGGAATGGAGCACCTATCCCCCTGCCTCTGTGGAAACTCGATCTCAGTCAATTTGGTGAGTGAGGAGTGTTTATTGGTGAGAAGTTATATGTAAAACCTCAGCTTGTACAACTTGGGCATCATCTCTCTCTGAAAGCTCCATAGTAATTCCTCTGTGAAAGCTGGAGGGTTTTTTGATGCAATGTAGCTCTCTGACAACTCACTTCGTGTGCAATGGCCGTGCAGAAGGGAGAAGGACATCATACTTGTATTTCTGAGACTTCTGGAGTGATCCCCAGGCTGCTAAAATTGACACTGTTTCAGGTGTTTCAGGATGGTTGCTGACAGCAGCTGAGAAACATTTGGCACGGCGCAAGAAAAGAAGTGCAAAGGTGACAGTCTCCTTCCCTGGCTGGCTGGGCTGGTTCAGCATCCACCACCTGCCAGCAGACCCAACACGCCAGGACGGCCCCCTCCTTGTCTTTAGATTCATCTGGACTTGAAAGGTACTGAGAAGGTTTGAATTCAATCATATAGCTCGTGCCAGGAGAGTGATTCAGCCTAGAATCTGCTTCTACTTAGGCTATTTTGCTGTAATATCTTATAAAAGATCTTGTAGGAATATAGTAAATATCTGCAGTGCCACACTTTGGTCTGTTTTCTCTGTCAAATCTCTCAGGGTCAGTCTTGTCACAGTAAGGTGTATTCCAAATTTTTCGTTTCTGCTCTGGTGCATCAGCGCTAATGGAGTATTCCCTTGCCAGAGAAATTAAGCACCTTATTTTGAAATTTTAAATTCTGGTTCCAGGTTAAAGTAAAGATTTTTGCAAATACTGCAAACACTATTGCTGACTGGCAGCTATGTCTCAGCTGCACATATGGAAAGATGCAAATTTTTTGTGAAGAGGCATAAAGTGCTTCTTGAAGCAGAGACGTGAGTTTTCATCAAATGAAATGTGCACAGGGGGTCATTTTTAAATTTTTTTTGCATTACATTATAGAAAAAGGTTCATTAGAGATTATAAATAGTAATGATATGGACCACACTCTTGTGAATTCAGTTCTAATTAGAAATGCACTGAGCTACCAAAAATAATGCACCCAAGCCAGCTTCCTTAGGACTGCAGTTATCTTCTACATAAATGCATCTTTAACCAACAGCATATAAAAAGAGCAATGATGACATCCAGAGGACAGATAGTTTAATCATAGGTACTGCAGGTATCCTCAGCAAATTTCCTGGGGATATATCCCTCACCTACTTTTTCTGTTTAAAGTCTGTTCCTATTAAGTCAGTTATTGACAGCCTGCTGAGTTCCTTTAAATCATAGCTTTTATGAAAACTGACCTTGTAAAATTGAGTGTTTCACCCCCCATGCAAAAATTATGTATACATGGTAAACTTTTATTAGTGCAATCATTTTTGTGTGCATTATTATTCTATGTTATCATCGAATCCAACTGAAATGTAAAGCACTTTAAGCTATTGGTAACTTCAGGTTAATAGCTGTCTGGCTTACTTCACCTGTAAGGGCTCCTACCGTGAAACCTCTCCCTATATGTAGGTTTTTATCTAATCTGTCTTAGTAACCTTCCATACTCTGTCTTGGCAGGTTGTTTTTGGGTTTGATTTTGTTTGCAACTGCAAGAATATTGGCCAGGTGCACCATATGTAGAAGCCACTACATAGAAAAGCCTCCGAATTCCACTGAAATATCTATGGGTGGGTGTCCATTTTATTTGATACATTACCAATGTTAGTCTGTTAAGCACAGCTCCACAATCAGAATTTAATTGAAGCATGTTACCTATAATAGGTTCAGATATTTGTGTTCTTCAGCATTTTATGAATTCAGAAACAGATGGGCTATGACCAGGAAGCAGTGGAGAACAGACTGGCGTAAAGCAGGTTGGCTCTCTGACAAGTGCAGGTACAGCTGTGGTATGTATTTTATTCAGCATGCCCACCTACTGTATCAGCAGCCTGCCCTACCAGCAATTCAACTACAACTGACTTAATGAAGAGTAGAAGTAAGCATGAATCCAGACTTTCCATGGATCATAATATTTGAGAACCCAGAAGAATCAACATGACGGAAATCATGCCAAGTAATTTTTTTTTTCCTGCATCTTTATGTGCGAGAGATAACAAAAGCATTGGTGTTTTGAAGGGGGGAAAATATCCCCACAAAACGTAATCAGTTTATAGTATATTAAAATATTTCACTTTTGGTCTTTCTTAATTACTGCTTTTAAAATTAAATAAAGAAACCTTAGCAAGTAGTAGCTTACAGCCTAAATCATCATAATTGTGCCAAGGAACATGTAGAAGAGCTGGCTAAGAGTGCTTCTGTTAGTAAAAGGAAATTTATATGGGTGACAGAAGGGCCAGTTCTTGAAGATTTCATGCAAGAAGACTACAAAGGGTATTTTTGCTCCAGTTTATGCCAATCTTTACAAGTCCCATGGGGAAAAAAACTTCTGTGGCTGAAGAGGTGATGGAAAAGAATCCTTGATGTGAGCATTCCTTAATTGGGAATGTGCTATTTGCTATTTTATGCATTTAAAAAATCTGTCTGTCTTTTGGCATTCCTTAGCCATCTGGTTGAATAATCTTGCATACCTCTTTATCTCTGTTTCTCTATCTATCTAACTTCATATATTGTAACCTGCAATAACCTACAGTAACCCACAAAGTGAATTTGGAAAAACAACAACCCATAATTATTTTATATGGTGATTGTCTGACTTGAAATATTGAGGTAATTATCGAGTTAAATTCCTATGATCCCTGCAATTTCTATGAACCCTGGAGATGTCAGTACTTGAGTTCTGGCATAACTCTTAAAGTAAAATTATACCACCTCAGCCTAAGGTCGTAATTAAAGATGTAACAAAGCTAAGTGAAAAAGGGCTATATGACTTGAATTAAAAGCAGAACAATCCCCATAATTGTAGAGGGTGCAAAATTAAATTAACTGGCCACAAATTCCACCCTTCAGGAGCCACAAAGTGCCATCTGTAGATGGACAAGACTCTTGTTGATGCAGCTGGATGAAGGCAAAAGAGGAGCCTGGGATGTGGGTGCAGGAAAGAACCTGCAGGACCACTTGGTTTGAAAGGTGAATGATTTCTTACAGAATGCAGTAAAGACTTAGGGAAAGACTGAATAAGGGGGGTGGGGTTATAAATCTGACTCTGCTGCGACTTTTATTTGGGAGACTGAGAAGTACCACTTTGGTCTCTCCAAAGTGAGACTGTGGGACATGTTTTCATAAATTACTTTTATTTTCACCTGGATTTCTAAGAAAAACTTTAAACACAACTGAATAATATTGTTAAGAGTTCTGATGAGCAGAAGAAAACTCAACCTAATGTATATGTGTATATGCACCTCTATGTGTAAGCATGGATGTGGACTGGTGCTTACATTTGAAAATGAAATCCTGGAAGACTGTTTAATGAACATTCCACAGCCTTATTTTAGGGGTTCTTCCTTTGTTGTACTACAGGTGCTGTAGGAGTGGAAGCCATCAGCATTCAAATGACAAAGACACGACTGGGAGTGTCCCTTCAGGGCAGCAAAACAAGGAGATGCTGCTCAGGAATTCAGTTTCCCAGTGCAGTTGTGCTAGCTGAGCAGCACATGCCACATATCTTGCTTGCATCTTGGACTCTTGAAGGTTTTCTTTTCTCTCATTCTCTTGTCCAAGCTTCACATTTAACCTTTGAGGCAGTTTTGAATATATCCCTCCATAAATCATAGTCCAGTAGCACTAACCTCAGGCAGCTCTTTAGTGTTTTTGACTCCCTTCTCACACTGTTCCTCCTCAGGCTTTTGCTGGTCATTCTCATTTCTCTCCTGATGATTTTGTCACTTCTCTTCAATGTAAAACTCAGGGGATCTATGAAACTGTACACTGTGACCGTGTTTGTGATGTTGGGGCCTCTGCCTGATGCTACACTTCGCTTCATTTACCTTTCTCATTTCATTGCTTTCCCCATGTTCCAGCAGTGCTGCCTGCCCCCCTGTTCCTGCTATAGGGCTGACATACTGTCCATCAGATCCTGTCCCCTCCAGCCTCCACCAAAATATGTTACCTTTCATGTTGGTGACTCCCTCAAATACACTAAATCTTCTGTGTCCTTTAGAATTTTTTCCGTTTGGTTTTAAATGTCCCCCAGCTGTTCTTGTGCTGAAAAAACACCTCTGGACCTACCGATCCTTCACAAGCTTTTTAAAACCGTTCTCTGGTATTTCTTCTGTCAGCATTTTTACAGCATTTCAAGACTAGTTGGTGTCACAAAAGTGAAGAATATTTCACAGAGAGGATAAAATACTACAGTCAGTTCCATACAGGCTTAGTTCTGAAAAGTCACTTAAGTGAAGTGTGATGTTGAATGAAGGGAGTAAGTGATGGCTCTTGGAGATTTGTCCAGAAACAAAAATGCACCTAAGCTGTAGCTCAAATTTATTTTTTTTTTTCAAATGACTGGTAAAAAATAAGCTTTAGATATGGCAAACCAAAAAAAAACCCAAACCAAACCAAAAACAAAAAGAAGAAAGAAAAGAAAAAAAGAGTTGTAGTCCTGTCAGCTCCTGAGGTCCCATCCAAACACTGTCAGAAGGGACCCTATCCCTGAGCGCCAGTATCTTTGCTGCTGAGTGCTCTGGATACTGGCACCCAGTTATGTTGGAAAAATATCCTTTTGCTAATGGAAGTACTGGAATGTGGTCTCCTGTAGGTAGTGAGTTCCCAGGAATGCTGGATAAACCCCAGAGCAGTTTAAGCCTTGTCTCTTTTCTGAAGCTGGGTGCCTCTGCCAGCCAGTCCCACGGCCATGCCACTGAATATCTGCAGCATGTGAAGAGCAGGAGTCAGAACTGTTCCTGAAAAGAGTTCAATAAGATGATTTGGAAAAGCTGCTTGATTAAAGGGGTCTAAGCATAAGAATTGCATTAGTTGAGTCCTGCATTATTTTCATAACTACAACAACAGGCACAATTCTGCCTTCAGATCTCCACAGGTGTTTGCACGGAAAGCAGGTAGTGAGCTGAGAAATTTGGCTGAGGAAAGCACTCAGGTACTCTATCAAAGAGAACAACATAAAAATTTAAATTAAGAGAAGATGAGATTCTCTTCAGCTTCAGAGTAGAGCAGACCAGGAGCATTTGTTAGGATCAACATTCCATTTTCTGGTTCTCTGTCATCACCAGGCTGAAGGGTGTCTGCTCTCTATCCTGCTCTCTGAGGTGTCTACTCTCTTACTCCAAGCTGTCCAAAAGCTTTAGTGAGAGCTGGGAAAATTCAGGGAGCAAGTCCTGCATCTGAAGCCAGTCTCTTCCACCTCCACACCCAAGTAAAAAGCTCCACAGTTTCTTTAGAAGAGAACTGAAGCTTTAAACTGAGGGTCAGTGAGCTACGCAATGCACCATTTCATCAGCTGACAGGCAGTTGTGGTTCTGAGCATGTTCCCCCTGCACAGGATCATTTCTCCTTCTGTTGGTAAATGGGGTGGGGTGCACTTGCCCAGGTGAAGCTGAGGCAGGGAGCAGATATGTTATATTTGATGAATATTAATGTTCTTGAGTACCTGGTGTCTTATGCTGAGCTCAGCAGCTGGGCTGTACAGGGACACTGTGGGTTTTTTCCATTCCTTGGGTAGGAAGAAAGTGGGGGTATTTAAGGTGGCCTGTTAAGGACTATCTCAAGGTCAGGGCAGTAAAAGGGTGTCAAGTAATCCTTAGGAAGAATATTTAGAAGCATGTAAGCAGAAGGCACAGGAGCAGAGAAGATGAAAGAGAAACCATAATGGGAGACAATTTTTAATGTACATACAGAGTAAAAGGGATGAGTTCAAAATCAACAGGGAAGGGTTTTCATGAGGCACTATGGTTTTAGTGGGGAAGATAACATTCTGGATGCTATCATGGAGTAAACTGAAGAAAGATGGAAGAAAGTAGATAATAAGGAAACTGGAACAGCAATACCATTTCCTTGTACTCCTTTTGGCTTTCAGTTTTTCATTGGATGAGCAGGACAAAAGCAAGAGCCAGAGAAAATTCTGTAGGACTTGAAGTGCTCTGCAATGTCCCTGCTAGACAGTGTATATTCCTACTGGAAAGGGTGCTGGAGAAATAGCATCCTTTTTGATAATGACTCAGACCTGAAAGTGAGAATAATAGCTCTGACTCAATCACAGGCTGTTGTGGAGGGAGATTAATGCCAGGATACATGGCCAATTCTCATTTTTTGTGTCAATCTGCTTTCAAAATAAAGCACATGCCAGTTATTTCTCTTGGAAAGGAAAGAGAGAGAGCTGATATGAAACAGAGATAAAATCTGGAGCATAATTAAACAGGCATTTTTCATATCTTTATCACTGTCTTCTTTCTCTTCCCTCTTATGCTTCTGTGTCTTGTTCTTTCTAAAGCTATTGCAAGTGGGATGGATGTCGAAGGAATAGCAGCTGGTTTTGATGCCAAATAAGTACTTCATGTTTTATCTGATACATGGCAAGACACATTCAGGCATTTTTGTTGTGCATCTGATTATATAAGGCATTTTATGAATAGTCCATCGTACAAAGGCATTATTGTTACTGTAATTGTCACATCTTCATGTCAATTTTCAATTCACTTTCTGCATTTTCCTCACATTTCCAACAATAAATACTTAAAATAATTATGATTAACCAGACTGAGATTACAGGTAATATTGCTTTGACTTGATGCTTTATTACACTAATTTTCTTCAAGACCTAGCAGTGTAGGTTGGCTTAGGATGGGGATAGGTACCTTTTTGTTGTTGAACTGATATTTCAAGTCTCCCTTCAGTTCAGAGTGAACTAGCATTTCTATTATCTCTTGGCTTGCTGGTTAATGGGGTGGGATGGTCCCAGTCGCATTCCTGCTGACCTGTCATAAGCGATGGTGGTTGGCTCCACTTCTTTGTTCTAGGTAAGGAGAGTAGGGTTTGAAAAAGTTTTAAGCCACTTTATGGTACTGATATAACCCTCCAAGGTTCTCTTGCTACCCTGGGGTTGGGATAGTCCCAGGTGTAAGCAATGTTTTTGTCTAACTGACACCAACTTGTCCTTGTTTTCAATGTTCCCTGAGGCAGCTGGAAAATCTCAGGCTACAGACACTCATCCACAGCCTCTGCCCCTGAATAGATCTCCATGGTAAAACTCTTCTTCTGTTGCTTGAGGTGCTGACAAATCTAGCCTGAGAGCCTTGCCCTGGTGCAGAGAAGAGCCTGAGCTCTCCCTTAGGCTCAAGGAGTGGTAAGCCTGCTTCCATACTCCCTGGGCTCCTGTAAAAGAGCAGGTATGGACGGGGTTCATTTATAGAACTAAGTCTGGGAATATAAAGAGCTACACAAACAACTTCCAAATCTAGTATTACATGGGGCAGCTTTACAGATCCCATTTGATACAGAAACACTTTGTCTTACTGTATTCACCCATCCCTCCTGGTTCTTCCCCTGTTTCACTAAGATAAATTCAGCCCTACCCCAGCCCCCACACCTTCTGAAAAGTTATACTCTCCTGCCACTGCAGCAACAATAGAAATGTCATTGCTGACAATGACTTGAATGAGTGACTGGAGCACGGAATATGGAAAATGAAGCCATGAGTCTGCTCTGATGGGAGAGCTTGCTTCTGGAGAGCAGCATATTGGTTTGTTTAAATGCTTATTCTCTGGGTTCTTGTGCTTTCTTTGTGCTTGTGTTTGCCTTTCACCTTCACAGTGCCATGCAACGATTCCCATGGGTCTGTTTCCAAACTGTCACAGTCTTGGTATCTGTTGTTGTTACAGATACACAGAAGAAAAGGAAATGCTTTTCTGTTCCCCTTTAGGTGGCTTTAGCATTTATAGAGCTGCCTGCAGGAGGCAGGGGGGACCAGAGCATGTGGAGCTGGGGTTGTCCCTTGATGAAGCTCCTCAGGGGATTTTGGCAGCCATCCTGGAGCTGATTATGTTTGTCGTGTGCCACACAAGGTCTCAGTGCAAAGGTTACAGATGTAGTCTTAGATGTTGTAGATGTGGATGTTATCTGACTCTTCTGCTGAATTCTCTTGGAGGATGTTTTTCTGGGTTACTGTGGTTCCCAGCCCTCTCCAGTAATATCAGAGATATGGTGAAAGTGAAGAATGCACAAAAGGGAGCAGACACTGCATTCTGTCCCTTGCTACAATCCAAGAAAAGGGCCCACAGGTCCAGAGATGCAAGTGGAGCTGGAAGGAGCTTCAGAAGTGGGAGATATTTGGGAGACAAAAGCAAGGTGCAAGGCTGCAACTGTGATGGATGGTCTTCGTGGAAAATATCACAAAGCAGGATCTGGTAGCATGTGCAACCTTACAAACTGCAAGTACTTCTGCATCAGGAATCGGCTGCATGTGCCCCTAAATTTTTTTAAAAGCCAGACTTCCCCCGTGGAAACAACAGTGTTCCAAGTCAGAGTTAGCCTTTCCAAGGCTCAAAGGGAAGCCTATAAGTAATGAGCTATGATTAATTTTCTGTTTGTTTTGTGCACACACAAGAAAATGCTGTGATATTTTGTGATGATGAATCATGCTGTGCGTGAACACTCACCTCGCAAATGTCTGAAAACGGCATCTTGTGTTTTGGGACCCATTTCCTCAGTACTAGAGCTACTATGTTAGGTCTCACAAACCTTTTCAGGAACTGGGTAAGCTTCATCTGAAAAAACAGTTGGGTTTTTGGCCCTCAATATTCCTATTACTGGGCAGCCATTCCAGAGCTTTTATCCATCCTGTG